ATTCGGATCATCTGAGCGAAAACTAGCCACACACACATTCATATGATGATGTGCTGAAAAAAACTAAGGATCATCAACGGTTAACTCATCAACAGTTAAAAAAGTACATAGTTCGGATCATCTGAGCGAAAACTAGCCACACACACATACACACGCACACACACACGCACACACACACACCACACATCCCCCCCTCACACACACACCCTCACCACACACACACACACACCTCCCCCCCTACACACACATCCATCACCCCCCCTCCCACACACACCCACACACACACACCCTCAACCCCCCACACACACACCTCCCTCATCCCCCCTCCACACACACACACCTCCCCTCCCCCCTCCCCCCCTCCCCCCACACACCATTCCCCAACACCCCTCCCTCCCCCCCTCCCCCCCACACCTCCCCCACCCCCCCTACACCCCCCGCGCAACTTTTAAATCGCTCACCTTCCAGATTGAAGAGCCAAGGCCCCGTCTCATTGGTATACAACATAAGGCCTCTCATATACTTGTATTTTCCGACCCTGAAAATATAAATTAAATTACGCCATTTTCGTCGGTGTCATATTTTCTTTTATTACCTTTTAAAGAGATGAAAAGAAATGTTGCCAAAAAAAAAAATAATTCTCGTCTTTTCTTATTGTATGTTCTGTTTTTTTTCATCTATTTATTATGATAACAAGAAAGATTGCAGTGATAACGATAGCGTAGAATGTAACAAAATGTAGTAGTAATGTCAATAGTGATAACAGTGCCAACAGAGATAATAATGATAATAATAGTATTAACAAAGAAAAAAATGACAATGGCAACAGTTACTATCACTGCTATTATCATTATCATCATCATTATTACCGTTATTTTTACTCATATCATTATCATCGTCGTTACTGTCCATTATTAAGACTACTATTATTATTTGCATCATATTATGTTTATCATTATTGTTGTTACTATTATTATTACTCTTATCATTATTATTATTATTAATGCTATTATCATCATTATTATTACCATTATCATTATTATTATTATTATTATCATTAGTATTATTATCATCATTATTATTGTTATTATCATTATCAATGGCATTATCATCATCCTTATTATTGTTACTATCATTATCATTATTATCATCATTATTATTATTACTATCATCATTGTTATTATCATTATCATTAATATCATCATAATCCTCATTATAACCATTCTCATTACAACCAATTCTACCACAACCCAACCGAACAACCGCAACCACAACCAACCGCAACCACAACCGCAACCACAACCGCAACCACAACACAACCACAACCGCAACCACAACCACAACCACAACCACAACCCACCTGATCCCGCCATCGATCCCGACCCCCGGCACGAAGTCCATGTTGTAGAAGAACTCCGTCCTGGGCGCGGGCGCTGACGGGGGCTCCGACGGGGGCGACCTCAGGGCCTCCCACTGGTTCACGCCGTCGTCCCCAGCCACCTCCGGGGCTCCCACGGCCGCCAGGAGGGTGTCCTGCCAGTCGACGATGTGCATGAGGCCGTTGTAGACCCTGGGCGTGGCTTGCAGAAGGGGCGTGCGGACGACGGCGGGGACGCGGGTGGCGCCCTCGAACAGCGAGCCCTTGTAGCCGCGGAGGGGCTTGTTGTTGTCTGGCGGGGGAGGGGGAGGGGGGGAGGTTATGGTGGTTGGTGGGGGAAGGAAAGGGGAGGGGAGGGGGAGGGGAGAGGGGAGAGAGAGGGGGGTTAGTGGTGGTTTGGAGGGGAGGGGAGGGGGTGGGGCTTGTTGTTGTCTGGCGGGGGAGGGGAGGGGAGAGAGAGGGTTAGTGGTGGTTTGGTGGGGGGGGGGAGGGGAGGAGGGAGGGGGGAGGGGGAGGGGAGAGAGAGGGGTTAAGTGGTGGTTTGGGGGGAAGGAGGAAGGGAGAGAGAGGGGCTTGTTGTTGTCTGGCGGGGGCGGGGGAGGGGAGGGGGGAGAGGGGAGAGAGGGGGTTAGTGGTGGTTTGGATGGGGGGAAGGGTGGGGAGGAAGGGAGGGGGAGAGGGGAGAGAGAGGGGTTAGTGGTTTGGAGGGGGGAAGGGGATGGGAGGAAAAGGGAGGGAGGTTAGTGGTGGTTTGGATGGGGGGAAGGGAGGGAGGAAAGGGAGGGGGGGGCTTGTTGTTGTCTGCGGGGAGGGGGAGGGGGGGGAGAGAGAGGGGTTAGTGGGGTTGGAGGGGGGAAGGGGAAGGGTTAGTGGTGGTTTGTAGGGGGTAGGGGAGGGGAGGGGGTTTATGGTGGTTTGAAGGGGGAGGGGTTAGTGGTGTTTGGAGGGGTGAAGGGGTAGGGGAAGGAGATAGGAGGGGCTTGTTGTTGTCTGTTAGGGAAGGGAGAGAGAGAGGGGTTAGTGGTGGTTTGGGGAGGAAAGGGAGGGGAGGGGGAGGGGGAGAGAGAGGGGTTAGTGGTGGTTTGGTGGGGGGAAGGAGGAAGGGAGAAGAGCGGGCTTGTTGTTGTCTTGGCGGGGCGGGGAGGGGGAGGGGGGAGAGGGAGAAGAAGGGGGGTTATGGTGGTTTGGATGGGGGGAAGGGGTGGGAGGAAAGGGAGGGGAGAGGGAGAGAGAGGGTTAGTGTGGTTTGGAGGGAAGGGGATGGGAGGAAAGGAGGGAGGTTAGTGGTGTTTGGATGGGGGGAAGGGGGAGGCGGAGGAAAGGGAGGGCTTTTGTTGTCTGGCGGGGAGGGGAGGGGGGGGAGAGAGAGAGTTAGTGGGGTTTGGAGGGGAAGGGGGAAGGGTAGTGGTGTTTGTAGGGGGGTAGGGGGAGGGGGAGGGTTTATGTGCGTTTGAAGGAGGGGGTTAGTGGTGGTTTGGAGGGGGTGAAGGGTAGGGAAGGAGATAGGAGGGCTTGTTGTTGTCTGTTAGGGGAAGGGAGGAGAGAGAGGCTTAGTGGTGGTTTGGAGGGGGGAAGGGGAAGGTTAGTGTGGTTTGTAGGGGGGGTAGGGGAGGGGAGGGGGTTTATGGTGGTTTGAAAGGGGAGGGGTTAGTGGTGGTTTGGAGGGGTGAAGGGGGTAGGGAAGGATAGGAGGGCTTGTTGTTGTCTGTTAGGGGAAGGGGAGAGGGAGGGGTTAGTGGTGGATAATAGGGGGGAAGGGGGAGAGGGGACTTGTCTGTCGGGGAGAAAAGAGAGAGGGGGACTTGAATGGAGGGGAGGAAAGGGAGGGGGTGGTTTGGAAGGGGTAGGGGGAGGGGAAGGAGGGACTTGAAGAGGGAGAGGTGAGAGGGGAAGGGAATGGAGGGCTTGTTGTGGTGGTCTGGAGGAGGGGAAGGGAAAGGGGAGGGGGATTAGAGCGGACGAGAGGGGTTGGTTGAGTAGAATGGTTATATGGGGAGGGAGAGGGGTAAGTTGGGTACTGGAAGGGCATTAGGGGAGGAGGGGTGAATTGGGGTAGGGGCGGGGGTTGATGGAGAAGGGAGGAGGGGGGAGGGGGCGTTAGAGGAGTAAGAGAAAAGGGGGAGGGGGAGGGAAGGAAATTAGGAGTGAAAGGGGGGTTGAAAGTTGGAGTGGGGGTGTTTCAAGGAAAGAAAGGGAAAGGGTAAGGAGGGAGGGAGGGAAGAAAGGAGAGAGAGGAGAGAGGAAGAAAGGGAGAAGGGGGGATGGAGTGAAGGAGAAGAGAAGGATGAGAAGGTGAGAATATTTTAGAGAAATGTAAGAAGCGATGGAGGGAGTAGAGAGAGAGAGAGAGAGAGAGAGAGAGAGAGAGAGAGAGAGAGAGAGAGAGAGAGAGAGAGAGAGAAAGAGCCAGCCAGAGAACAGACAGAGGGAGGGGAGACATAGACAGAGTCTGAGACAGAGGGAGACAAGAAACAAACAGACAGAGACAAAGACGAAAGAGAGAGAGAGAGAGAGAGAGAGAGAAAGAAAGACAGAGACAGAGACAGATAGAGCCAGAAACAGAAACAATGAGAAACAGAAACAGACACACACAGACAAAGACGAGAGCCAGAAACACAAACAATGAGAGACAGAGAGAGAGAAAAGCAGAAACAAACTAAAACGGAGACATAACCAGACACAAAAACAAGATATAGAGAAAACAGACACATCACCAAAACAAAAACACAGAGAGAGACAGAAACAGCTAGTCAGAGACAAAGACGAGAGAGAGAAGAGATGAGAGAGAGAGAGAGAGAGAGAGAGAGAGAGAGAGAGAGAGACGAGAGGAGAGAGAGAAGATAGAGAGAGAGAGAGAGAGAGAGAGAGAGAGAGAGAGAGCCAGAAACAAAAACAATGAGAGACAGAGAGAGAAAAGCAGAAACAAACTAAAACGGAGACATAACCAGACACAAAAAAAACAAGATATAGAGAAATACAGACACATCACCAGACACAAAAAACAAAAACACAGAAACGCACACACAAAAAAACAAACACAGAAACACAGACACAAAACAAACACAGAAACACAGACACCAAAAAAACAAACACAGAACAAACACAGAAACAGACACACACAAAAAACAAACACAGAAAACACAGACACAAAAACAAACACAAAACACAGACACAAAAAACAAACAAACACAGAAACACAGACACAAAAAACAAACCAGAACACAGACACAAAACAAACACAGAAACACCAGACACAAAAAAAACAAACACAGACACAAAAAACAAACACAGAAACACAGACACACAAAAAACAGAAACACAGAAACACAGACACAAAAAAGAACACAAACACACACAGAACACAGAACACAAAAAAAAACAAACACAAAACACAGACACAAAAAAACAAAACACAGAAACACAGACACAAAAAACAAACACAAAGAAACACAGACACAAAAAAAACAAACACAGACACAAAAAACAAACACAGAAACACAGACACAAAAAACAAACACACAGAACACAGACACAAAAAAACAAACACAAGAAACACAGACACAAAACAAACAACACAGACACAAAAAACAAACACAGAAACACAGACACAAAAACAAACACAGAAAACACAGACACAAAAAAAAACCACAGACACAAAAAACAAACACAGAAACACAGACACAAAAACCAAACACAGAAACACCAGACACAAAAAACAAACACAGAAACACAGACACAAAAAACAAAACCAGAAACAAACACAGAAACACAGACACAAAAACAAAAAAACACAGACACAAAAAACAAAACAGAAACACAGACACAAAAACAACACAAAACACAGACACAAAAAAAACAAACACAGAAACACAGACACAAAAAAAACAACACAGAAACAAACACAGACACAAAAAACAACAGAAACACAGACACAAAAAACAAACCAAACACAGAAACAACCAAAAAAACAAACACAGAAACACAGACACAAAAAACAAAACACAGAACACAGAAAACAAACACAGGAAACACAGACACAAAAAAACAAACACAGACACAAAAAACAAAACAGAAACACAAAACACAGACACAAAAAAACAAACACAGACACAAACAAACCAGACACAAAAAACAAACACAGAAACACAGACACAAAAAACAAACACAGAAACACAGACACAAAAAACAAAACACAAAAACACAGACACAAAAAACAGACACAGAAACACAGACACAAAAAACACAAAAACAGACACAAAAACAGACACAGAAACACAGACACAAAAAAGCAAACACAGAAACACAGACACAAAAAACAAACACAGAAACACAGACACAAAAACAAAACACACAAAAACAAAAAACAAACAAACACAGAAACACAGACACAAAAAACAAACACAGAAACACAGACACAAAAAAACAAACACAGAAACACAGACACAAAAAACAAACAAACACAGAAACACAGACACAAAAAACAAACACAGACACAGAAACACAGACACAAAAAACAAACACAACACAAACAAACAGACACCCCCCCAAAGACCACAAGATGCCATCACCCACCAACCTTTATACTCCCTTCCACCATTATCCGTTGTCCAGACGATAATGGTGTCGTCATAGAGGCCATTATCCTTCAGAGCTTGGATGACCCGGCCGACCCCTTCGTCCATGGCCGTCACCATCGCCACGAGCCTCCGTCTGTCCTCGTCTGGCTCGTCTGGGTACATGTCTGTGTACTTCTCGGGGACCTGTTGGGGGTGGTGTGGGAGGGGGATGGAGTGGCGTCTGGTATGGCTTTGGTTTGTTTTGGTGTGTTTTTTTTGTTGATTTTGTTGTTGTATGATCATCGTTTGGTGTTGTTGTCATCATCATTATCATCATCATCATCAATATCATCATCATCATTATCATCATCCCCACCATCATCATCATCATCTCAATATTATCATTCATCATCTTCACCATCATCATCATTATCATCATCATCATCACAATCACCACCATCATCATCATCAATATCATCATCAACATCATCATTATCATTATCATCACCACCACCACCATCATCATCATCATCATCCCCGACTAATATTCACCATATTCTCATATGGTATTCACCCCAGGCCATTTTTCTCATATCTAAATCATACATCCCATATCACATATATCTAACAAATACACACACACACACACACACACACATATATATCACACACACACACACACCACACACCACACACACACACACACACACACACACACACACACACATATATATGTGTGTGTATGACACACACACACACACCACACACACACACACACACACACACACACACACACACACACACATATATATATGTGTGTATGTGTGTGTGTGTGTGTGTGTGTGTGTGTGTGTGTGTGTGTGTGTGTGTGTGTGTGTGTGCGTGCGTGCGTGCGTGCGTGCGTGCGTGCGTGCGTGCGTGCGTGCGTGCGTGCGTGCGTGCGTGCGTGCGTGCGTGCGTGCGTGCGTGTGTATGTATGTATATATACATATATATACACCTTACATATATACAAAAAATATATTAGACATATATCAGATATATATAAATATTAGATATATATAAATGTCTAAAACCAACCTGAAGAGGCACGTGCACATTTTGCGTGGCCAGATAGAGGAAAAAGGGATCTTCTCTGCCGTTGTAGGATTCGATCACCTCTACAGCCTTGTCAGCGAACAGATACTATAAACGGAAGAAGAACGAGGTTAAAAAAAGGAAATTAATGGGTGAAAAAAAGAAAAATATTAGTGTTTTTAGACGAATTATTATTATTTTTATTATTTTAAGTAGATCATGAGATAGACAAAGAAAAGGACTGATATTAATGAATGATTTTATGATATTTTCATAGCCTTGTCAGCGAACAGATACTATAAACGAAAAAAAAGAACGAAAATAAAAAAAGGAAATTAATGGGTGAAAAAAAGAAAAATATTAGTGTTTTTAGACGAATTATTATTTTCTTTTTAAGTAGATCATGAGATAGACATAGAAAAGGACTTATATATAATTTTCTTTTTATTATTTCAAGTAGATCATGAGATAGACATAGAAAAGGATTGATATTAATGAATGATTTATGATATTTCCATAGCCTTGTCAACGAACAGATACTATAAACGGAAGAAGAACGAGGTTAAAAAAAAGAAATTGATAGGTGAAAATAAAGAAAATATAGTGTTTTTTAGACGAATTATATTATTATTATTATTATTTTAAGTAGATCATGAGATAGACAAAGAAAAGGACTGATATTAATGAATGATTTTATGATATTTTCATAGCCTTGTCAGCGAACAGAAACTATAAACGGAAGAAGAACGAAATTAAAAAGGAAATTAATAGTTGAATGAAATTGGAAAACTGACAAAAAAAATAAAGAAAAAAAATATTAGGGAGATAGCTAGATTGTTATTCTTATTTATTCCTTTTTATTTATCTTTTATTTTCGAAAGTCAATAGATGATCTGATAATAATTTTATAGACCTGTCAGCGATAAGTGAACGAAGAACAAAGGGGAAAGGGAATAGAAAAGAACTGAAAATTGACAAAGAAATAAAAAAAAAATAGTAGTGTTTTAGACGAATTATTATTATTATTATTATTTTATTTATTTATTATTTTAAGTAGATCATGAGATAGACAAAGAAAAGGACTGATATTAATGAATGATTTTATATTTCCATAACCTTGTCAGCGAACAGATACTATAAACGGAAAAAAGAACGAAATTAAAAAGGAAATTAATAGATGAATGAAATTGGAAACTGACAAAAAAATAAAGAGAAAAAATATTAGGAGATTGCTTGATTATTATTCATATTTATTCCTTTTTATTTATCTTTTATTTTGGAAAGTTAATAGATGATTTAATAATAATTTTATAGCCCTGTCAGCGATAAGTGAACGAAGAACAAAGGGAAAGGAAATAGAAATAGAACTGAAAATTGACAAAGAAATAAAAAGAAAAATAAGTGTTTTTTAGACGAATTATTATTATTATTATTATTTTATTTTATTTATTATTTTAAGTAGATCATGAGATAGACATAGAAAAGGACTGATATTAATGAATGAATTTATGATATTTTCATAGCCTTGTCAGCGAACAGATACTATAAACGGAAGAAGAACGAGGTTAAAAAAAAGGAAATTAATGGGTGAAAAAAAGAAAAATATTAGTGTTTATAGGAAATTAATAGATGAATGAAATTGGAAACTGACAAAAAAATAAAAAGAAAAAATATTAGGAGATTGCTGGATAACTATTTTATTTATCTTTGTTTTATTATTACTTTTATTATTATCATTATTATTATTATTATCATTATTATTATTATTATTATTATTATTATTATTATTATTATTATTATTATTATTATTATTATTATTATTATTATTATTATTATTATTATTATTATTATTATTATTATTATTATTATTATTATTATTATTATTATTATAATTATTATTATTATTATTATTATTATTATTATTATTATTATTATTATTATTATTATTATTATTATTATTATTATTATTATAATTCATTCATTCTATTATTATTATTTATTATCATTATTACTATTATTATCCTTATTATTATATTCAGTTATTTGATGATTTTGATAATAATTTCATAGCCCTGTCAGCACACACATTTAAGTGAACAAAGAACGAAGAAAAGGGAAACAAGTAGGTAAATAGAATTGAAAATTGACACAGAAATAAAAAGAAAAATATTAGTGTTTTTAGACGAATTATTAAATTGTTTTTTATAAGCAGCGTACAGAATTATATAAGTGAAAAAAAACGAGATTTAATTAAATAGGAAATAAATTGGTGAGTAAATTTGGGCAAGAAATAAAAGAATATTGGTGTTTTTAGCGAAATTATGAAATTGTTAATGATTTTCTTAAACGTATATGTCAGACGCAGAAACCGGATACATGTTAATAAATCATTCTATATTTTCAAGGCTTGTCAACGAACAGACACTATATGAGAAACAATAAGATTATAAGGAAAAAAAATCTGAAATTGCCCCCCCCCAAAAAAAAAAGAAAAAAGAAAAAAAACATATCGGTGTTTTAAGGTAAATTATCATTATCATTATTATTATTATCATTATTGAAATAGACTATGTGACAGGCTTTGAAAAAGGTTGGATTTCATTAAATTATTGCATGATAATTCTATGGCCGTGTCAGCGAACATATACTATAAAAAAGGGAGAGGAATGAAGAAGATAAATCTATATTAAATATTAGCCTTATGAAGCAAATAACAAATCTGCATATATTACATCTAAATTAGTTTATGTAAAGAAAATGGATGACCATTAATGAATATTCTTATAACAAAAACAAAAAGTTTTATTCTCACGCAAACATTTTCCTACATTTATTTCACTGAACTTTGACCTGATTTGAATATGAAGAAAGTCCAAAGAGAAAACTAAAGATAAAGATGGGAGAAAAAAGAGCAAAAGAGAAAAGTAGAAGAAGAAACAGAAGGAGGAGGGTGAGAAGGAACAAAATGAAGGAGAAGAAGAAAGAAAAGAAACAAAAGGAGGAGGATACAAAAAAGAAGGGAAGAAAACGAAAAAAGATACGAAAGAAAAAAAATGAAAAAGAAAATCAAGACAAAGAAAAAAAACGAAAAAAAAACGAAAAAAAAATCCGACAGTAAACAAACAAAGAACAACAACAAAAAACCGACTGTAAACAAAGAAAGAAAGAAACAGACAAACAAACAAAGAATAAAACAAGAAACCCTCCTCACCATACTATAGGTCCCATTGGCCTCCCAAGCGACCCGCTCACCATCCCTCATGTCAAAGCCGCCTGGAAGAGAGATAAGAGATAAGAGATAAGGAGGAAGGGGCGGGAAGTGGTGGGTGGGGTGGTCTTTGCTCTTTACCTCTCTTTGTTTCTCTTTTTTCCCTGTTTTCTTGTTTTATCTCTCTTTCTTTTTGTCTTCTCTTTCTTTCTGTCTCTGTTTCTGTCTCTCTCTCTATCTATTCATCTATTTTATTCATCTATCTATTTATCTCTCTATTTATCTATCTATCTTTCTATCTACCTATAAGTCTATCTATCTTTATCTCTCTCTCTCTCTCTCTCTTTCTCTCTCTCTTCTCTTTCTCTCCCTCCCTCCTCCCTCCCTCCTCCCCCTCTCTCTCTCTCTCTCTCTCTCTCTCTCTCTCTCTCTCTCTCTCTCTCTCTCTCTCTCTTCTCTCTCTCTCTCTCTCTCTCTCTCTTTCTCTCTTCCCTCCTCCCTCCCTCCCTCCCTCTCCCTCTCTCTCTCTCTCTCTCTCTCTCTCTCCTCTCTCTCTCTCTTCTCTCTCTCTCTCTCTCTCTCTCTCTCTCTCTCTCTCTCTCTCTCTCTCTCTCCTCTCTTCCTTCCTCTCTCCTCTCTCTCTCTCTCTCCTTCCTCTCTCTCTCTCTCTCCCTCTTCTCTCTCTCTCCCTCCTTCTTCTCTCTTTCTCTCTCTCCCTCTCTTCCTCTCTCTCTCTCTTTCTATCATCATTTTCTTGGATTTTTTATCGACTGCCTCTTCTTCCTCTCTCTGTCTCTATCTCAATCTATCTATCTCTATCTATCGATTCATCTGTCTATCTATCTACCAATCTAGTTATCAGTGTATCTATCTATCTGTTTATCTATGGCTCCCTATCTATCTGTATCTCTGTGTATCTACCTGTCCATTAGTCTAAATATCTATCTGTCTATCTATCTGCCTATCTATCTATCTATTCATCTATCTATCCGCCTATCTGTCCCCCTACCTATCTATGACAATATTTCCTAATTACTTTATACATCCTAATCTATATTTTATTTTTTCGTTTTTTCTCCTTTTTTCTTTTTTATCGCTTTCGTACTTTACGAAAACTTAAAAAAAATAAAAAATAAAAAAAGCGAATCTGCTGATATATTATAAAAAGGATCTTACCGTATTGAGAATGCGAGAAGTAGCCATCTTGTGCCTTATAATACCCGTAGAAGGTGTCGAATCCTCTGTAGGTCGGTGTATAAGCCCAGTTGCAGAATCCAAGATGCCATCTAGACAAAAGAAAGCGTGGGTTATGGTCTTGTGCGTTTGGTTATTCATTCGTTTATTGTTTAGATGATTTTTTTTTGTCTTTTTCTCACTCTCTTCCCCTTTCTTTCACTCTGTCTCTCTTTCTCTCTTTCTTATCTCCCTCTATTCCCTTCCTCCCTTCCACTTTCCCTTTTCGCTTACTTTCCAACGATGTGTGTTGTATCCCAGTTCTTCAACACTCTCCCTCTCTCTCTCTCTCTCTCTTTCCTCTCTCTCCTCTCTCTCTCACTTCCTTCTTCCCCTTCCTCCCTTACCTCTCCCCTCCCTCCCTTCCCTCTCTTTCCTTCTCCTTCTTTCCTCACCCTCTCCCCCTTCCTCTTCTTTCTCTCTCCCCTCACTTCCCTTCTTTCCCTCTCTCTCCCTCCATCTCTCCCTTTTCGCTTACTTCCCGACGATGTGCGTGTTGTATCCAGTTCCCCCTCAACCCCCCTCCCCTCCTCTCCTCCCTTCCCTCTCCCTTCCCTCCCTCTCTCCCTTCCCCCCTCTCTCTCCCTCCCTTCCCACCCTTTCCTTCCTCCTCTCTCTCTTTCGCTTACTTCCCGACGAATGTGCATGTTATACCCCAGTTCCTTCAGTCCTCCCTCTTCTCCTCTCGTTTCTCCCTCCCTCCCCTCCTTTCCCTCCCTTCCACCCTCCCCTCCCTCTCCTCCCTTTTCGCTTACCTCCCAACGATGTGCGTGTTGTAGCCCCATTCCTTGAGGCTCCCCCCTCTCCTCTCTCTCTCACCCCTCTCCTTCCCTTCCGCCACCTCCTTCTCTCTCTCCCTTCCCCTCCCCTCCCTTCCCCTCCCCTCCCTTCCCTTCCCCCTTCCTTCCCTCCCTCTCTCCCTCCCCCTCCCTTCCACCCTTCTTCCCCTTATCTCCCTTTTCGCTTACTTCCCAACGATTGTGCGTGTCTGTAGCCAGTTCCTCACCTCCCCCCCTCTCTCTCTCTCTCCCTCTCCCTTCCCCACCTCCCTCTCTCCCTCCTACCTTCCTTCCATCCCTTCCCCTCATCCCTCCCTCCTCCCTCCCTCTCTCTCCAAATCTCTCCTTCCACCCTTCCCTTCCCCTTCTATCTCCCTTTCGCTTACTTCCCCGACGTGTGCGTGTTGTACCCAGTTCCTTGAGCCTCCTCTCTCTCTCTCTCTCTCCCTTCCCCCTCTCCCTTTCTCCTGTGTCCCTTGTAACCCCCACTTCTCCGCCCTCCTTCGCTTCTCTTTCTCCCTCTCCTTTTTCTTCTTCCCTGTTTCCTTGACCCCTCCTGCCTCTCCTTCTCCTTTCTCTCTCCTTTCCGCTTACTTCCCAACGATGTGCGTGTTGTATCCCAGTTACTTCAGTCTCTGCCCTCTCTCTGTCTCCACCCTATCCCATTCTAACCCCTCATCTCCCCTTAAACCTACTCCCTCTCCCTCCCCTTCTTCCCCTCTTCCCTTCCTCCCTTTCAATCTCTCCTTTTGCTTAACTTCCCAACGATGTGTGTGTTGTATCCCAGTTCCTTCAGTCTCTCGGGCAGGAGTGTGGCGTTGAGAGTGAGTCCTGCGGGCTGGGCTGCGTAGATGACGATCCTCTGGGGGGGCGAAATGGGAAGGGGGAGAAGTGATAAATGAAGGGTGTAGAGAGGAGGAAAAGGAAGAATAGGGGAGGAAATTTAAATGGGAGGAGGAGGAGGAGAAAGGGAAGAAGTGATAAATGAGGGGGTGTAGAAAAAGGAGGAAAGAAGAGGGAAGAAATAGGGGGAGGAAATATTAAATGGAGAGGAGGAAAGGGAAGAGGGGGAGAAGTGATAAATAAGGGGTGTAGAGAGGAGGAAAAAGGAAAAAAGGGGGCGAAATGGGAAGGGGGGAGAAGTGATAAATGAAGGGTGTAGAGAGGAGAAAAAAGTGGAGAAGGGGGGGAGAAAAGGGGGAGGGTAAAGAGAGGTGGGGAAGAAATAGGTGGAGGAAATATTAAAGGGAGAGGAGGAAAGGGAAGGAGGGAGAAGTGATAAATAAGGGGTGTAGAGAGGAGGAAAAAGAGAAGAAAGGTAGGAGGGTGGGAAAATTGGAGGAGAATTGAAATGGAAGAAAGAAGGGGGGAGAAGTGATAAATAAGGGGTGTAGAGAGGAGGAAAAAAGGGAAGGGGGAAAGAAATAAGAGGAGGAAAGGGAGAGGAAGAGGGAAGAGGGGAAGAAGTGATAAATGAAAGGTATAAAGAGGAGGAGAAAAGGAGAAGAGGAAGAGGGGGAAAGGAGGGAAGGGGGGTAGTGATAAATGAAAGGGAAGAGAAGGAAAAGGAGAAGGGGAAAAATAGGGGATAGAGGATATTGAATAGAGAGGAGGAAAGGGAAGAGGGGAATAAGTGATAAATGAAGGGTATAGAGAGGAGGAAAAAGGAGAAGGGGGAAATAGGGGAAGAATATGAGGAGGAAAGGGAAAGGGGAAGTGATAAATGAAGGTTAGAGAGGAGGAAAAAAAAGAAGGAGGAGGAAAGGGAAGAGGGGAATAAAGTGATAAATGAAGGTATAGAGAGGAGGAAAGGGAGAAGGGGAGAAATAGGGGGAGGAAATATTAAAGGGAGAGGAGGAAAGGGAAGAGGGGAATAAGTGATAAATGAAGGGTATAGAGAGGAGGAAAAAGGAAAAAGGGGGAAGAAATAGGGGAAGAATATTTAAAAAGGAGGAGGAAAGGGAGAGGGGAAGAAGTGAAAAGGAGATAGGAAAAATGAAGAAGGGGAAGAAATAGGGAAGCGATATCAAATAGAGACGGGAAAGGGAAGGGGGAAGAGGGGGAGAAGTGATAAATGAAGGGTATAGAGAGGAGGAAAAAGGAGAAGGGGGAGGAGGAAAGGGAAGAGGGGAAGAAATAGGGGAGGAATATATGAAGAGGGGAATATTGATAAATAGGGTACAGAGAGGAGAAAAAGGAGAAGAGTTGAGAGGGTAAGAAGTTGATTAAGATATTATAGAGAGGCGGGAAAGGGAAAGAGGGAATAAGACAATAGGGGACAGTGATATCAATAGAACGAGGAATAGGGGAAAGGAGATGGTATAAAAAATAGAGAAGGGAAAAAGGAGGAAGGGAGAAAGAAAATAGGGGAGGAAAGATACTAAATAGACGAGGAGGAACGCGAAAGAGGGTGAATAATGAATTAAATAAAGGGGTTGGTGACAGAGGGAGGAAAAAGGAGAAGAGGTTAAGGATAGGATTGGGGAAAGAAATGTAGGAGGGAAAGATGATGAAATAGATAGGAAGAAAGGGAAGTGGGGGAATAATTGTATAAATGAATTGGTATAGAGAGGAGGGAAAAATGAGGAGAGGGAAGAGGATATAAAGTGTGAGAGGAGAAAGGAACAGGGAATAAGTGATAAATTGAAGGGTATAGAAAGGAGGCGAAAAATTAACAGGTTAAGGAGAGGGGATAAAGAAATAGAGCCCGGAGGAAAGGGAAGAGGAGGAAAGCAGTGTAAATGTGTAGGTTAAGGAAAAGATGGAAAAGGAAGAGGGGAAAGATATTAAATGGAGAGAAGGAAGAAGCAGGGAATGAAGGTAAAGGAGAGGGGGAGAAGGAGGAGGGGAATAAATGATAGGTAGAATTTAAGGAGAAGAGGAACAGAAAGGAAGGAAAGGAAGTGATAAATGGAGGATTAAGAAAAGGGAAATAGAAGAAGGGAAGAAGTGATAAAAGATTAAGGAGATATGAGAAAAGGAAAGAGGAAGAAGTGATAAATGGAAGATAAATGGAGGAAAAATTAAGAAGACGCTAAGAAGAAGAGATAAAGGAAAAGGGAGAAAATAAGAGGAAAATTGAATAAATGGAAGAAAAAAAAGAGAAATAATGTTGTGGTGAATAATAAGAAAATAGAAATATAGGTGAAGGAGAGGAAGAAAAAGGAAGAAGAGATTAAGGATAAAGGGATAAAGATAAGTGAAAAAAATGATAAATGGAGCTAGAGGAGAGAGGGAAATAATGAGTGGAATAAATGATAAATGAAAGAGAGAAGAAAAAGAAAAGAAAAAGAGATTGAGAACAGAAAGAAAGAAGAGACAAAGTGAGGATAAATAAAGGTTAAGGAAAGGAGGAAGAAAAGGAAGAGGTTGAGAAAAGGAGAAAAAGAGGAAGAGAGAAAAAAGACACTAAAGAGGAGGCGAAGTAGAAGAGAAAAAGAGAAAGAGAAAAGAAGAAATGAGAGAAAAAGTAGAGAAAGTGAAGGGGTGATAAACAAAGGTTAAGGAAATGAAGAAAATATAGCTTAAGGATAGAAGAAAAGGGAAGAGGCGAAGGGACGATAAATAAGGGTTAAGGAGAGGAGGAAACGGAAAAAATTAAGAAAAGGAGAATTTCATAAGAATAGATTAAAAAAGGAGAAGAGAGACAAAGTGTTGATAAAGAATAGATTAAAGAAAACAGAAAAAAGGAATAGAAGAAGAGGCAAACTGATAATGAAAAGGAACTAAGAAAAAAAAAACAATAAAAAACAATAAGAAATAAGAAAGGAACCAAGAAAAAAGGGAAAAAAAAAAAAATAAATAAAGAGGCAAACTGATAATGAAAATACGAACTAAGAAAAAGAAAGAAAAAAAATACAAAACAATAAAAAAAGAAAAAAACAATCAAAAAAAGAAAGATAAGATAAAAAACAATAAATAAAACAACAAATAAAACAAACAAAATCCCTGAACCACGCCCACGCCCACAAACAAACAAACAACCAAACCCTCACCTGTCGACCGAGCTTGTGGGCGTAATACCCGGTCATGAGGGCGGAGCGAGAGGGCGTGCAGAGCGAGTTGGTGTAATGGTGTTCCAGAACCACGCCCTCATCCGCCAGTTCTTGCAGGTTGGGCGTGATCATGTCCGGGTTGTGCCATGACACCTCGTTCCAGCCTGGCGGGGGTTGTGGTTAGAAGGGTTGTGAGGGGTGTCGTGTAGAAGGGGGTGTGCAGGTGCTTGAGGGGTTTGTGAGAGGCAGGGGTTGTGAGAGGAGGTTAGGAGGGGTTGTGAGGAGGTTGTGTTGTTGTGAGGGGGTTAGAAGGGGTTTGTTTGAGGGGGTGTGTAGAAGGGGTTGTGAGAGGGTGTCAGGAGGGGTTGTGAGAGGAGGTTAGGAGGGGTTGTGAAAGAGGGGGGAGGGGTTTGAGAGGGGTCAGGGTTGTGAGAGGGGGTTAGAAGGGGTTGTGAGAGGGGGTTAGAAGGGGTTGTGAGAGGGGAGAAGGGGTTGTGAAGAGGGTGTAGGGGTTGTGAGAGGGGTTAGAAGGGGTGTGAGAGAGGGGTTGTGAGAGGAAGGAAGGGGTTGTGAGAGGGTTAGAAGGGGTTGTGAGAGGGGGTTAGAAGGTGTGAGAGGGTTCAGAAGGGGTTTGTGAGAGGGTGTCAGGGGTTTGTGAGAGGGGGTTAGAAGGGGGTTGTGAGAGGGGGTTAGAAAGGGGGGTTGTGAGGGGGGTTAGAGGGGTTGTGAAGAGGGTGTCAGAAGGGTTGTGAGAGGGTGTCAGAAGGGGTTGTGAGAGGGGGTTAGAAGGAGGTTGTGTGAGAGGGGGTTAGAAGGGGTTGTGGAGAGGGGTTAGAGAGGGTGTCAGAAGAGGGGTTGTTGTGTTAGAAGGGGGTGTCAGCGAGGGGGTTAGAAGGGGTTGTGAGAGGGGTTTTTAAGAAGGGGTTGTGAGAGGGTTAGAAGGGGTTTTTGTGGGTTGTGAGAGGGGGTCAGAAGGGGGTTTGTGAGAGGGTGTCAGAAGGGGTTGTTTGGACGTGTCAGAAGGGTTGTTTGGAAGGTGTTTGGGTGTGGTTGTTTGGAGGTGTTGGGTGTGGTTTGTTATGGGATGTCCGGTGTGTTATGGTGTCGGGTGTGTTATGGGTGTCGGGTGTGGTTGTTATGGGTGCGGTGTGGTTTGTTAAGGGTGTCGGAAGTGTTTATAAAGAGTGTCGGAAGCGAGTATTAGGTCGTTTTGGGGTGTCGGAAGTGGTTGTTTGGGCGTGTCAAAAGCGGTTGTTAGGTGTCAGAAGTGGTTG